AACAACAACAACAACAACAACAACAAAACACTCAACAGAAAGAAACCTGGGTAAATAGAAGAATGTACCATATACCATGTTAATGGATGTTGTTAGGTGCCATTGAGTCAAGTACAACTCATAGCACCCAATGAACCTGACCTTTACCCTATCCAATGACAGTCTCATAATCTCTGATACTCTAGAGCCCATAGCTGAAGTCACCGTGTCAATCCATCTTATTGGGATCTTCCTCTCTTTCTCTGATCTTCCATTTTTCCAAGCATGATGTATGTCCCTTTCCATGGAATAGCCACACCTAGCAACGTACTCAAAGTATGAAAGATGAACCTTTACCATCTTTGCCTCCAAGGAGCACTCTGGCTCACTTTTCCCAAGACATAGCTGCTTGTTATTTTGATAGTCCATGGGATATTCAGTACTCTTCTCCAGCACCATAATTCAAAGGCATCAGTTCTTTTTCTGTTATCCTGATAAATTGTCCAACTCTTTGATACAAAACAAGGGACTGAAAAGACCATGGCCTTAATTAGGTTTACCTTAGTGTTTAAAGTGACATCATTTCTCTTCAGCATTTTGAAGAGGTTCCTGACAGCAGACTTGCCCTGAAGAATGGGAAGAATAGGAATCCCAGAACTCTTAATTGTGCTAATATGAAATCTATACCTAGATCAAGAAGCTATTGTTGGAAATGGAGCAAGGGAACACCTCATGGTTTAAAATCAAGAAGAGAATGTTTCAGAGTTGTATCTTTTTTCCATACCTGTTCACTCTGTATGATGAGCAAATAATTTGTACAACCAGAAATTATGAAGAAGAATGTGGCATCTGGATTTGAGCAAGACATATCATCAACCTGAGTTATGAGTAGATGACAGAACTTTATTTGCTGAAAGTAAGGAGGATATGAAATGTTTGCTGCAGAAGAGCAAGGTTTACAACCTTTGGTATGGTTTGTGTATCAACATCAGGAAAACATGGGTCCTCACCACAGGAACAACAGTCAACATTATGATAGATCGTGAAACGATAGAAGCTGTTAATGATTTCATTTTGTTTGAGTCAACAGTCAACACCCTTTGTACCAGCAGTCAGGAAATCAGGAGATATAGTGCATTGAGCAAGTCTGCTGTCCGAGACCTCTCCAAAATGCGAAAGAACAATATGTCAGTTTAGAGACTAAGGTGTGCCTGATTCAGGCCATGGTCTTCTCAATAACCTGTTATACATCAGAGTTGGACAATGAATCAGGATGACAGAAGAAGAATTGATACCTTTGAATTGTGGTGCTAGAGAAGAGTATTGAATATCCCATGGACTGTCAAAAGAACAAGCAGATGTCTTGGAAAGGGAGCACCCAGAGTTCTCCTTACAGGCAAGGATGGCAAAGCTTCATCTTTCATACTTTGTGCATGTAGTTAGGTGAGGCTATTCCTTGGAAAGGGACATCATGCTTGGAAAGGTGGAGGGTTGGCAAAGGAGAAGACACCCAATGAGACGGATTGACATGGTGACTTCAGCAATGGACTCTAGTGCATCAGAGATGATGCAGAAGGCACAGGCTAGGGCAATGTTCAGGTCAGCTATTCATAAGGTTACTATGAGTTGATATTGCCTCGATGGCACCTAACAACACTGTATGGCAAGAATAGGCTTTCAAACATAGCCATTAGCCAGTAGCAATAGGAAGTTTAACAGGACAGCAAACAACAAATGTTGGGGAGGACATGGAGAGATTGGAGCTCTCTGCACTGCTGGTGGGAGTTTAAAATGGAATAGCCTTTATGGAGGATAGTGTGACATTTCCTCAAAAAGTTAAAAACACACCACAAGATAAAGGTAAACAACCCAATTGAAAAAATGGGCACACAATATGAACAGACCCTTCACCAAAAAAGATATTGAGATGGTGAACAAAAACATGAAGAAGTATTCAAAATCCCCAGCTCTAAGA